GGGTGTGGGGTAGGCAGGGACTTAGGAGACTTGAGGCCCGGGTCAGAGAAACTGAGGCCTTGGGGAGGCCAGGACCGGGAATAACAGTCCAGCACGGCCTTGAGCTGGGCCTAGACTATTGGTGGCCTTGCCGTTGCTAGAAAGACCCTGAGCACCTAAGCTGGCTCCTAGAGGCATTTCCACACCTCCCACAGTTTCGATCCCTGGTACCAGAGCTGAGCCTGGGCAGGACTCCATGAAGGGGTCAGTGGGGACAGCGCAGCAGACCAAACAGACCCCGTTGGATGAGAAACTCCCTCCTGGCTCCTTTCCCTCCAGAATGTCACCCAGAGTCTGCCCCGTTCTTTTGGGAGAAGCTCTGAGGGTGTCTCCCTTGCTGCTGGCAGGGACAGTTGGAGAAATCTCGTTTGGTCACACCCTCTCAGGCCATCCAGAGCTGTGTGCCCAGTGTGGCCTGTTGAGTGTCTAGAGAACCCTCCCTGCCACTGGGTCTGCTCAGGCCACTCCAGGGCCTACTCTTGGGTGTTTAGTCCCCTGTGAACTCTCAGGTGGACGTGAAGGAGGAGGACCAGGAATATGGAAACAGGGCAGGTGAGAATTTCCACAAAAGAGGGAAGACACAGTCCAGGATGGGGAGGGAAGGTCCAGAGCAGACACATCAGGGAGAAGGTGTGATGAAGTACAGGATAGAGTAGAGGGGTGTGCAGTGACCGAGTGGTCTCAGGTCGGTTCACATCACTTCCGGGCAGGGTGGTGGGTTTACACAAGCCTCGCGCACACACAGGGGCAGGGCCAGTATCCCACATGCAAACAGCCTGTACACATATGGGCGGGCACAGGTCTGTGTGCGTGCACACAACCGGCCTGTATACATAGGCATCGGGCCAAAGAAAAGGGACTGGAGGAAAACAACCTCAGGCGTCCTCCCTGCCTTCTGCCCTGGGTACTGGCATCTCAGAGGAGGCGGTAGTCTGCATCACCCTTCCCCGTGGTCGCCGCAGCCCACCGAAGCACGCGTTAGCTTTAGGACCAGGAAGGAGATGAGTTTTTTCAAAACACCAGGCAGTGTCTGGGGCACCCGAAGGCCTCTGGGAGGCTGAGCAGGGGACTAGGGATTTAGCTGCAGGGTGTGGCTGCACGGGGACCAAAAGAGAGTGACAGGACTTTGCTTTATGCACTCAGGTTTTGAGTTTCATCTTATTTTTAATTGATGCATAATAATTATATGTATTTATGGGATCAATGTGATTTTTGATTATGTACACATTGTGTCATGATCAAATAAAAGTAAGGAGCATGTATATCACCTCAAACGTTTATTGTTTCCAATCAGTGAGAGCATTTGCAGTCCTGTCCTCTAGCTGTTTTGAATGTAACAATACTGTTAACCATAGGCACCCTACTGTACCACAGACCACAGTGTATTCTTCCTGGCTCTAACTAGTACCTGTGGACCAATCTCTCCCTGTCCCCCCTTCCTCTAACCCTTCCTGTGATAGCCACTGCTCTGCTCTCTTCTCCTGTGAGATGAATTTTTCAGCTTCCATGCGTGAATGAGATCATGTAACATTTGCCTGTCTACACCTAGCTTACTTTCCTTAATATAATGTCCTCCAGGTTCATCCGACTAATACAGATAAGAGAACTTCACCCTTCTTTGCATAGCCAAATGGTATTCCACTGCATATCCCGTATTTTCTTCAACCACGTATCTATTGATGAACACATAGGTTGTTTCTCTGTCTTGGTTATTGTGAATAATGCTGCAATAAATATGGAAATGCGGGTGTCTTCCTGACACACCGATTTCATTTCCTTTGGATACGGACGCAGTGGTGAGATTGCTGGATCTAAAACTCCTATGGAAAAACAGAAGATCCAAAATAGCTGAAGCAATTTTGAGCAAAAAAGATAAAAGCTGGAAGCATCACACTGTCTGGTTTCAAAATATACTATAAAGTTACAGTAGCCAAACCAGCACAGTGCTGGCATAAAAACAGACACACGGGCCAAGCACAGATGAGAGCCTAGAAATAAACCCCTCACACTCACAGCCAGCCAATTTCCAACAAAGTTGCCAAGAACACATCGGGAAAAGGACAGACTCTTCAAGAAATGGTGCTGGAAAACTTGGATACCCAGGGCTCCACTCTGGAACTGCGCCCTTGTACGCGACAGCTCACCACAGACGCCCCATAGCCTCTGGGCGAGCCTGGCTCCCAGGCTCCCTCTGGGCCAACTTCCTTCTGGCTTTCCAGGTGGAGCAGGGGACCCCATTCTGCCATTCACGTTCACGTAGGTATCTCCAGACCGACCCCTGCTCCCTCCCCAAATGCAGGAGCTTCCCGGGTGTGGTGCCCTTCACACCACAATCCAGCCTCAGAAAGGGCGCAGGGAGCCCAGTGTCCTGCTTGCTCGCTTCTCCTTTCATCCCCTCCAGCCGGAAGCATCTGGGTGGGCAGGGGTCCCAGCTCGCCTGCCCTGCGTCCTCCTGGGGGCTTCCCCTCGGTCCTCTGGCCCTTGGGGAAGGTGCGCACTGGCCTGTCCCTCCTGCGGGAGGTTTCTCAGGTTAGGTCTCCCAGCTCCCCACCCCACTCACACATGCACGTGGGTTTACACACCGATCAGATGCAGGGAAGACCCCATCTGCACTGCTCTCTGGGATAACAGGGTCTGCCGCAGCCCAGCCCTGCAAGGGAGGTTTTCTCTCAGGGGCTGCAGAGGCCGGCGCAGCTGCAGACAATGGCTGTCAGCACCTGGGAGTCTGAGCTGCAGCTGCCTCCTCGGCGGGGGCTGTGGACTGCTCAGGAGGACGTCTGCCACGTTCACCTCACAGGGCCGGGGAAGCTAAGGTCAGCACTGCCCAGCACCTGGTGGGACAGCAAGGACCAACAATAAAGCCACAGCAAGGGTAGGAAATCAATGCTGGGCAGAAGGACTAACCCCAAGCACACTAGGGGTTCGGGGCAAGGCTGACCCTGGGCTCCACATGCCACAAGCAGTTCCACACCCCAGGCTCCCAACCACACTCGCTCAGAGCTGCCCCAGGGAAGGAACAGAGGCCTTGGAGGGCCCTAGAGACACCTCTGGCCACCGCCAGCCCGGACCAGCCAAGCAAATCCCAGGCGACGCAGCTCTAAGGGCACAGCTCCTGCCTTTCTGGGGAGACAGGACACATCTCGGCCCGGTTCTGATGGTTACACATTACAAAATAAACTATAGGGTTCATTTCGTGGTGTTATTGCTTTTGTAAGACATGACAGAGGCTCAAAAAGAGCAATTGATGCAAAAACATCGCTGTAAAAATGAAGGCTCATCCCGAGTCTGCTTGCCTCCGTTCCCATGACTCTCCCCCACCCTTACCCTCTACCCCGACTCCCCACTCCCACGCCTGACCTGTGTGCTCATGCAGCTTGGACCGTGTCTGCCCATGCTGTTGGCCCCCAGGCAGCTACCCATCTGAGCATCTTGGGAGCACCGTGCTCCATGCCTGTGGTAGACTTTTAAGGAATTCCCGAGCCTTTCTTACCAGGAGCCTTGACTCTGGCCACTGCCTGGAAGATCAGGGGTTGAAGGCTTAGGGAGAGGTCCCAGCTCAGCCATGCCACCCCGGAACCAGGATGCCATCCCAGGGAACCACGCAGGACAAGCTCTGAACGTGCTGCCAGCTGACCACTAGCTGAGACCTCGGTTGAAATGCCTCCCACACGGTCCTCAGTTGAGGCCCCTGCAGGCGAGGCCGTGGGGCTACAGGAGGGAGGGCCTTTCAGCAGGATACGTACAGCCTCCATCTGTCCCGGTACCGCAACCAAGGGATCCCGTCTCTGCAACTGCACTGGTCCTTCGTGTCCTGACGCACCTTGAGGGAGCTCCTAACTCCCCCCACACCCAGGCCCCAGGAGGCTGTGGTTTGGCGTCCCCTGTTTGGGAGCTGAGGATGATGGGACCCACTCTGGGCTGGGCCTCTCCCGAGGCTGCTAGAGGGAAAAAAAAAAGAACACGCAACACCCATGAAAAAGAAGCAGGGGCTACCAGCTGCTCCCAGGACGCTGGAAAGGGCAGACTCGAGGACGCGTCCAGCTGGTAGACAGGGGTGCTGACTGTGCCGTCTCGGATCAGAGCCTCTCCGTGGACCATGGGCTGCCTACTCGTGTCTTCTGGAGGCCTGGCTGTCCCCACCCAACCGGGATCTCTCTGACCTCACCTCAGCTGTCCCCGCTCTGGGAAGCCCCTGGCTCCCGTGCGGGTGCTTGGGAGGCACAGCCAGCTCAAGGCGGCTGCAGGGCACAAAAGGCCAGACCGGGCCAGGCCCCGGGGTCTGCAGGCAAGCTCACAACTGCACACACACATCATGAATCTCCTACCTAGGAGCAGGGACTACTGTGGCCGAGGAGCTGAGCAGCCCTCCTCTGCTGAGGCATCCGGCAGTGTCAGTGCCATTTTCACCTTTGCCCAGGGCTGGGAAAGGCTCGTTTTCACTGCCCTGACTCAGGCTGGCTCTAGGCCTCCGCCAAAAGGCACTGCTTGGCT